TTTTTTTAAAAGAAATAAATATTACTAGCAAAAGTCAATTGGAAGGAAGGAAAAAATAAAAGAAACAGTGAGCTGAAACCTAAGAGTGAACAGTAAGAAAATGCAAATCCTGGAAGCAAATGCCATGGTCAGCACTGGAATTAGAGATGAGGCTCTGGAACCTCTTCAGGGTTGGGGAGCTCATGCTGAGGTAGGACCTGACATGTAAAGGCAGGACCCTCAAAGTGGGCAAGTTGGGTGGTCAGTAGCATCTTTAGATTCCAAACAGAAGCAAACACAGATCCCCTCTGGAGAAAAAGCATCCCTAATTTAGGATTGGACTGGAGAGAAAACCACAGGAACCAGGTATCAGAAAATACAAGGGGAGGGTTTACACCGAGAGGCCATATCATTTAATACATCCCAGAAAACTCAGGAAGGAACCCCACAGCTGCAAAGCAAAGAAAATTATTTTGTCCTCCCCTGCCTCCACCACTACTTTCTGCATAGGAAACTCCTTCCAATACTTTAAAAAATTTTATCTCACTGCCTTGGGTTGAATGTCCCCCCAAAGCTTAATTCTCACTTAACTGCTGAGGGTGGGAAATCCTATTATGGTAATTGCAAGGTGGCACCTTGAAGAGGTGATTAGATTGTAGGACCATGCCACAGTGAATGGATTAATAATGGTGGTCAGGGGCGTGGTTCTGAGGGCTTTAAATTAAGAGTGAGTGAGGAGGTTAGTTTTTTTCTCTCTCTGCCTGATCATTTTCCATTTTCTGTCATGTGAGGCCCCTGGGTAACTGTCACCACCACCAAAGCCTTCACCAGCTGTGTTCCCTGGACTTTGGAATCCTCAGCCTCTGAAACTGTAAGCAATAAATTTTGTTTTCTTAAAAATTACCCAGTTCCAAGTATTTTGTTATAAGCAATAGAAATGGACTAATACACTCACTTAAACATTAACAACTGAAAGGATTATAACTGAACCACACAGAAAAATATAAGTTAAAAAGGGTAAGAGAAAAACCTAACAGATGGTGAAAGCATAGCAGATTTATAATGTCACAAAACATAGGAAACCTATTATCTTTCAATATGAGCTTAACACATTACAAATGGGAAAGATGCTAATGAAAGAAAAATTGGAAGGGCTGAAAAATTAGATGACTAGATGGCAGAGGAATATACAAAGACAGTCAATGGTATTGGAGACTTTTTTTAAGTAAACATTTCAGAAATACTTGACTCTCAAAGTGCAACAAGGGAAATAGAGACAGAAAGGAGAGAAATGGAAAGACAACAAAGAAAAATAGAAATAAGTATTTGAAAGAAAGTAGGAGAGGAGCCAGGCAATGACAGTCCAAAACACCTGTGAAAGTAGTCCACAAAGAAGAAAAGTAAAGCCACAGAATTAAAGAAATGCTAAAAACTATCATTCAAGAAAATTTCCTGAAATAAAACGCAAATCTACTTGTTGAAAGGGAAACTAGAAAACCTGAAAAAATTGACCCCTAATCATTAATACCAAGGAATATTCTAACATTAGGAATATTCTAACTATTGCACCTTAAAGTAGGGAAGGGATATTTGTATATGTAGACAAAAAGGCAAGACATTTATAAGGAAAAGAAAATCAGATTGAATGCAGACTTTATAAAAGAAGGTTTTATGATAGGAGAGCATATAATGTGTTTAAGATACTCAATGAAAGAAAAATGCATGTGAGGTTTTTACCTCCAGCCAAAATGACCTTCAAGATTAAGAGTCACAAAGAGTCATGAACACAGAAGAACTTGGGGAATATTGTTCCTATTTGCCTTTCCTGAAGAATACACAAAGCAAAAAAATGTAGATCAACTGAAAACTGATTGGGAATATTGTTCCTATTTGCCTTTCCTGAAGAATACACAAAGCAAAAAAATGTAGATCAACTAAAAACTGATTGAAGGGCCGGCCCGGTGGCGCACTGCTACAGTGCGCCGCTTGGGAAGCGTGGTGGCGCTCCCACTGAGAGTTCGGATCCCACATACAGACCGGCCGCTCACTGGCTGAGTGAGGAGTGGGGGCAACACTGAGGGTTGCGATCCCGTAGCCGGTCCCGGTCCGGTACGGGTGCGACACTGAGAGTTGCGATCCATTGCCGGTCACGAAAAAAAAAAAGACAAAAAGGAAATAAATAAATAAATAAATAAATAAAAACTGATTGAAGAAGTTTCTGCTGAGAACTTAACAATGGTGAACATTGAATATACGTACCTCTAGAACTGGGGCTGA